ATATATACGTATATATACATATATATATACGTATATATACATATATATATACGCATCATGGGCGAATGGCGCTGAACATACCTGCATCGCTGTTTTCCGCTAACTTATTGATCAGTATCAACACTAGCAACAGCGCCTTTTGTTGACTCTTGGTTCTACCACATCCCTTCATAAACCGCACCATTGACTGCAGACCACCATTTTCTGCGAGCTGTACTCTGCATGCTTGGGAAAGTGCGGTACTCATTTCTAGATGTTGGCAGGCCTTGATGAGATTTGCCAGTCTTTTCTCTGACGATCCTCCTGTTATAAGTTTGCATGTATGTATTTCCGTATGTCAATGTACACGTATCTACGTCTGTATATATATTCACGTATCTCCGAAAACTCACCGAGTCAAGTATAAATCGTGCCTAGCGGCGAGTGTGACTATGAACCTTAATGTCTACAGGATTTGACAAGAATCGCTGCGCTCTCCCTACTACAAAGCTGTGTGAATTCATATCTAATTTTCTATATCTATATCGAAAGCTTTCTCCCTTTGAATGAATATGAGAAAATGGCTATACACACATTATTTGTTGCCTTCTAGTACAGATCTGTTTACCCTTATATAAATATACAACGATTTACATGAGCGTACAATACAAACAATACATATATATGCCTATATTTACATGTATCGATATAGATATAGATATAGATATAGATATAGATATAGATATAGATATAGATATAGATATAGATATAGATATAGATATAGATATAGATATAGATATAGATATAGATATAGACATAGATATAGATATAGATATAGATATAGATATAGATATAGATATAGATATAGATATAGATAAAGATATAGATATAGATATAAACAAAGATATAGATAATGATAAAGATATAAATATAAATAGAGATAGAGATAGAAATATCAAAATAGATGTAGATATAGATATAGATATAGATATAGACATATACATGCATACATACACAAACAGATCCACATATAAAACCCGAAGTTGTTGAGCACATGATATACCCAGAAAACTCGGGTGCAAATCTGTACTATACTCGCCACGCAGACACACCCTTCCTGAGATGCCCCACAGCTCTATCGGTGATGTTCTTGAGTGTCTTCGACGGGTGCTGTGTGGCATCCACCTGGGAAGCGCGTACACGTGCCAACAGCTGTGTGTGTGGCACTCCCATTCCTTTCCGATAGTAGACACCACGCCACATGGCCTGTACACGTGCCACAGTCTCGTCTCGACTCGGCCCTCGACGATAGCTGAGTACACCCGTGTGTGCGTTACTCTTGCCGTCCTTGTGTTGGCGTGTGTGTGATTGCGTGTGCGCACGCCTTTGTGTGTGGGTGTATGTATGTTGGCTCTCCGCTGTATTGGTGTGTGTGGTTCCGTGTGTTTGTTGTGTGTGTGTGGTTGCCTTCTCGGAAGTACTGAATCGCACTCTGTTCGCCGCAAGTTGACTCACACTCGACGTTTCCCGATATTGCCCAGAAGGGCTTCCCAATATACTATTTTTCGTTCGGTTTCTCCTTTTTATCTCCCGTTCTCGTTCCCTTTCCATTTTCGCTTCCTTTTTCCTCTGATACAGTGCGTTCTGAACCTCCTGCGCACGCCTCTCCCTACTCCTGCTTAATTGTCCACTGCTCACACACCGCCGCCACCAGCTATGTATCCTCTCACACGCTGTTGTGCGTTTCTCCTCTCGTTGCCGTTCTAACCGATCAACTGCGCTTTGTCTGTACGACCTCAAGCGCGTACGCAGTACCAACGCAGACAAGAAGCGGACGATGGTATTCAAGGCCTATGAATTGAGGGGAGACGGATACGTATATCATTGAATAGAGTGAATTATATCGCAATGGAATCTGATTGTAGAGGCATGCACATGAACGTCAGTAATTTAGTATGATATCTCTGTGAACATATTACTCATTTGAGAGTACAGGTGTTCATGTATACTTGAGTGGTAGAGGTATTGCTTGAGTGGTAGAGTATTCGTGTATACTTGAGCGGTAGAAGTATCCGCATATACTTGAGTGGCAAGGTATTTGAATATACTTGAGTGACAGAGAAATTGGTATATATTTGTGTCTGAGTGGTGGAGGGATTTGCGCATACGTGAGTTGTAGAGGTATTCCTATGCACTAAAGTAGTAGAGGTATTACTTGAGTGGTGGAGGTATGCGCACATACCTGAGTGGTAGAGGTCTTCGTATGTACTTGAGTTGTATACGTATTCGTATATACTTGAGTGGTAGAGATACTACTTGGGTGGTAGAGGTATTCGTACATACTTGAGTGGTAGAGGTTTT